TAATGTATATATGCATGTAAAATCTTTGTTTAATCTCTTCCCACCCCTTTACCCCTTTCCCTCTGAGAATCATTGGTCTGTTAAATTCCCATGCCTCTGGTTCTATTTTATTCCCCAGTTTATTCTGTTCCTTAGTTTTTTTATTCATTTATTTGATTGTTAGATTCAATTGTTGATAGATGTGTATTTATTGCCATTTTATTGTTCACTCTTCTTCTACTACTACTACTACTACTACTTCTACTTCTTCTTCTTCTTCCTCTTCTTAAAGAATACCCTTCAACATTTCATATAATACTGATTTGGTGGTGATGAACTTCTTTAGTTTTTTATTGTCTGTGAAGCTCTTTATCTTACCTTCAATTTTAAGTGATAGCGTTGCTGGGTAGAGTAATCTCGGTTGTAGGTCCTTGCAATTCATCACTTTGAATATTTCTTGCCACCTCCGTCTGGCCTGAAAAGTTTCTGTTGAGAAATCAGCTGAGAGTGTATGGGTGCTCCCTTGTAGGTAACTAACTGTTTTTCTCTTGCCGCTTTTAATATTCTCTGTCTTTTGCTCTTGGCATTTTAATTATAATGTGTCTTGGTGTGGTCCTCTTTGGGTTCCTTTTGTTTGGGGTTCTGTGTGCTTCTGGACTTCTAAATCTATTTCTTTTACCAGGTAGGGGAAGTTTTCTGTCATTATTTCTTCAAATAGGTTTTCAATATCTTTCACACTCTCTTCTACTTCTGGCACCCTATCATTTTTATGTTGGTATGTTTGAAGTTGTCCCAGAGGCTCCTTACACTATCTTCTTATTTCTGGATTCTTTTTTTCTTTTTTCTCTTCTGATTGGATGTTTTTTGCTTTCTCATATTTCAAATCATTGATTTGATTCCCAGAATTCTCTCTATTATTGAATCCCTGTAAATTATTATTTATTTCAGTTAGTGTATGTTTAAATTCTGACTGGTCCTGCTCAAGGGAGGAGAAATTGGGAAAATAAGCAAAATAATTTTTGACACACCTGTGTCCCTAGTAATAACTCTATTAATAATCCAAACTCAACTCTCTTTTCTGAACTCATAACAGAGGCACATTTGGGCAGCCTCAGACTTCTGAGTGCTGGGAAGTGTTGGAAGAATACCTACTTCTTAAAACCTCAATACCATTTAAGTGACCAAATCTTAGGTTCCTAATCCTAAAGTGGGAATTGGATGGAACCACCTAAACGTATGAAGAAGACCTAGAAGATAGGCACTGGAAAAGGAAGCTGTGCCATGTCCCTTGAGGTGAGAACACAAAAGGCAACTAACTTCACTATCTTACTAGACTACATAGGAATTCCATGTCCTGTGAATTGTTAACAGGTGCTAGCATTTATCAACTTAAAAAATGTTCCATAAAAATGTTCAAACCTGTAAAGGATTTTTATGAGTTTATTTGAGCCAAACTGTCGACAATTACCAGGAAGCAGAATCTCAATGGATTTGGATAATGCTCCAGAGAATGGCAGTTCTTCACCTTGTTTTATACATTACAATCAAAAGAGACATAAGTAGATTACAGGAAATCCATTGATGATAGATTAGGGACGCGGGAGAAAGCAAAGGGGGGACTTTTGAGATTGGGTAAGACATAAAATGATAGACACATACTTCTTTTAGGTAGGTGGGTGCAGAATAGGCAAAGCCAACAATTAACATGATAACAATAACAAGGAAGGCATTTATGATCTCCTTCCTGGCGCCCAGGTGCATTTGGTTGTACCCTGCGGAGTCCAGAAAAAAGGAAATTTCAATTTACTCTGACATTTCACAGATGTGTTATCATAAATGTAAAAAGACAATAGGAACCCTAGCTTGTTTGGCTTAGTGTATAGAGCATCAGCCTGTGGACTGAGGGTTCTGGGTTCCATTCCAGTCAAGGGCACAAGCCCGGGTTGCAGGCTCGATCCCCAGTTGGGGGCATGCAGGAAGCAGTTGATCAATGACTTTTAATGACTTTTCTCTGATCATTGATGTTTCTCTCTCTCCCCTCTTTCTTCCACTCTGAAATCAATAAGAATGTATATATATATTATTTAAGACCATAGGCTCTGATAAGGTAAAGAATGAACTTTGTTAGGGGAGATACTGGCCTAGGACATGATATCCACTATAAATTGCTTTTAGTTAAAGTTTTAATTTCAGACCATCCTTTGTGGTTACTTTAGGCCTTTGTTTGCAGGCTTCCCTGAACTTCTCAGGTTAGCGTGTGAGGCCCCCTTTTTCTGTCCACACCCCGCAAAACTCCTTAAGAATAAATAATATTCATGTATTTAAACTTCGGTTTTCTCATCTCTAAGATGGCTGGTTTGCACAATCTGTGTCCCTTCCAGCTGTATATTTTTAGTAACATATAAGATGTGGGCTGGCTTTTGAGACTGCCTCTTTAAAAACAATAGAGGGCAGATGATTGCCATTTACCCATGTTTTGAGTAAATGATTTAGAGAAAGTTATTAACTTGCCTCCAAGCCTAATGTTATCTATCTGGGAATCAAAGAAAAAACATTGTTTTGTTTATACATCATCTAATTTATTCCAATTCTAGTACTATGCTAGCCATGTTCTTCATCTTTTTTCTTTTTTTTTTATTTCTCATAAAGCTGGAGTCAGTTCTCGAACTCAACTATTATAATCACATAAAGATCTGTTTCTCTTTTGTGCCAGCTTCTTGTTGAGGCAGGTTAATGAAGACTTTGGTTTTTCCTCTCATTAGGAATTCATTTTGGCATTGACAACGCTTCACTGATCATTATGAGTCTGTGTGCTGCTGTTGGTTCCCCTTAGATGAAGACTTCCCCAGTCAGGCCGCTTTCTCTCCTTCCAGTGCTAGTTAAGCATTCACCCACGGGGCCTCCCCAGAAAGTCTATCTCCTGCTGGAATGCAGGACATGCTCTCTCCCTGTTCCTGTTGACAGTTTTCACGGTCAAGATTACTCATCACAGCTGAAGACTGAATAACAATAGGTGGGAACCGGTTTCCACATAGAAATTGCCTTGCAGCCAACATTTATGGAGGAAGACACAGATGAACAGACTGGGCACTACACAACACTGAACCTGACAAGACCCTTTTCTAGCATAGCGTCTTTGTTAACACACAATCTGTTCAAAGAATTTAGAAATGAAATTTGGTAGAAATAACATTAAAAAAAAAAAAAAAAAAAAAGCACACACAACTTTTTGCCCTAGCTGGTTTGGCTCAGTGGAAAGAGCATAGGCCTATGGACCAAAGGGCCTCAGGTTTGATTCTGGTCAAGGGCATGTACCTTGGTTGCAGGCACATCCCCAGTAGGAGGGGGTGTGCAGGAGGCAGCTGATCAATCATGGATCTTTCTTACTCTATCTCTCTCCCTTCCTCTTTGTAAAGAATCAATAATATATATTAAAAAAATAAAAGTATGAAACAACTTTTGGAAGATCTTTAATATTCTAATGATGATTAGCCAGCATAATTAAAGTCATGCCAATATTTGTGACATTTTCCCTACCACATAGTTAAAACTTTTGTTTTTGGCTCAGTGGACAAAACATTGGCCTGCCGACTGAAGGATCCCAAGTTCGATTCCAGTCAAGGGCATGTACCTTCGTTGCAGGCACATCCCCATTAGAGGGTGTGCAAGAGGCAGCTGATCAGCTGATCGATGTTTCTCTCTCATTGATGTTTCTAACTATTCCTCTCCCTTCCTCTCTGTAAAAAATCAATACAATATATTTAAAAATAAATAAATAAACATTGCTATCAACAATAGGCTGTCTTTTGTAGTTCGACTTTACAGATAATTAACCAGGTAATCAACTCTGAAAGTTCCATCCTCTCTTCCCCTTTTTCTCATCTTTTTGTGCTCTCCCCCCAGCTCCTTTTCTAGACTGTCAGTTCTTTTAATGTAACATGTGCTCTCTCGGGTATATTTCCAACATTTTTTTATTTCAAGTCATAATTTGACTTTTGATTGCATGTGGAAACTTAGGCTTAAGAAAAATTCTTTCTATTCTTGGATAGTAAATTTCCTAAAGTAAAAGTGACTGATCATTGTTTAATCCATCTTGCGCTTATTTATAATAAGGTAAAGAGAGAAGCTCCCAATTCAGGAACAGCTAACACATTTTAATTACTACCCATTTCAAATATTGTACAACCGTGGCAAATCTGTTGGCATAAATTTCCGTTTGTTACAGAACATATTTAAAATACTTTTAAATAGAAAAGGTTACTGTTTCATTCCTTATTTCACATTATTTGAAGGCCATTCCAGAAGCGATTAGGAAACATTCACTTATTCTGCATGCCTGTTTCTCCCAAGTTCCCATCCACAGCAACTGCTAGTAGATGCAGACCAGACACTAAAGCACACCCCACATGCACTCGCAGATTCCTGCCTGTGTTTAGATGTGAGCTTCACCTTTGGGCTCCCAGCCATTTAAAAAAAAAAAAAAATCCCTTCCTCTGTAAGAAACAAGGAAATGGTAGTGTCTTAGGCAACGACGGAACACGGGCGATGAGAAGAAATGCTTATAAAGGGCAGAATTCTTTCTGCAGCTCTGGCTCCCTCACTGGGCATCTATCTTGCAGGCGTGCGGGAACTCCACTCCCCACCCCTGCTGGGATGATGCACCGGGAAAACATCCGCCCTCCTCCGGGCGCCTCTCAGCGGTTCCCCGCTGGGAAGATGTTGCCCCAGGTTTAAAATATCTGCCCCAGCCGCCCGCCCAGCGCGGGTGAAGCCTTCCCGCCCCCCGGGAGCCCCCGCCCTCCGCAGGGAACCGGGGATGTGCCTGGACCCGGCGGCGCAGGTCCTGCCCAGCCCCGAGCGGAACAAACCCCGGGCGGCCGGCCAGGAGGCTCCCTCCCAGCCACGCTGCCCCTCCCGGCAGCTCCATCCCCGCCCCCCTACAATACAAGATCTCTCTTCCTCTGTTCCCTCAAATCACAGCCCGGGGAAACCTCAAGAGCCTCCACCAGCCAGGGGCCAGCATGTCTGGGGGCAAATACGTGGACTCCGAGGTAGGCTGGGGGGGTGCGCACCGCGCCGGCCGGGTGTGCCCGCTTCTGCTATCGCCTCTCCATCGCCGGCGCTCTCCCCACTCTGGAGAACCCCTCTCCACTGTGGAGAACCCCTCTCCACTCTGGAGAACCCCTCTCCACTCTGGAGAACCCTCTCCACTCTGGAGAACCCTCTCCACTCTGGAGAACCCCCTCTCCACTCTGGAGAGCCCTCTCCTCTTTGGAGAGCCCTCCGCCGGCTGAGGAATGGGCCGGGGCGGGGAGGTGGAGGAGGAGGAATAGTTCGCGTTTCCCTCCTGGGAGGTCCCGGGCCCTGAGCCGGAGGGTGCGGAGAAGGTGGTCGGGGTTTGAGGTCGGGTCGGAGGACGCGTTTCTCCGCGGGTCCAGGTGCCACCTGATGCGGGACCCCCGCGGCGCGCCCTGGCCGGCTGGGCGGCGGGAGCTGGGGCGCAGGGAGGAGCTGGTCACCCGCCCTCCCGTCCAGGGGAGTCCCCGGGCGCCCGGCCCCACTTGGCGAAGCTCTCCGCCGCCTGGAGGGCTCTCCCCGCGCCCGGCGCCGGCTGGGGTGTCTGCAGCGGGACGCGCCTCCCTCCCCGCAACCACCGCCCCCGGGCCGCCACCCGGGCCACCACCCCCGCCGCCACCCCCGCCGCCACCCCCGCCGCCACCCTCCAGCCCGGGTGCGGGGATTCCCTTTTCCCAAACGCAGGCGCCGTTGCGCCCAGGGTGGGTCGGAGTCGGGGTGCAGGTGCGAGGTTCTAGGGAGGTTAGGGGTCCGACCCGGCTCCGCCCTGAGGATGGAGCGTGCGGAGCTGGGGTGGGGGACGGTGGGAAGGGGGGATAGCAAAGGGCAGAAGGAGGGTGGAGGACGGGGCAGGTGCCCGGGAAACGCCGCTGGGACCAACGGAATGGGGACATTCCATGAGTCCGGGTTCAAGTTGACTCTCCAGGATGAAACTGAATTGTGGAGAGGGGGAATAGGCTGGGAGATGAGAGAGTGGAGCAGGTGAAGCTCTCGGGGTGTGGAAAGGGGGCTGCAGAGGAGTGGGGGCCGGTGCCGTCGCCGCCCGGCTCTGGGCGGGTACCCCGCTGGGCGGGGCGGGGCGGGGCGGGGCGGGCGGGCGGCGGGGTGCCCTGACCCCTGGCGGCGGCGGGAGGCTCGGGCTGGCGCTCCGGTGCGGAGGGTGTGGTGTCCGCGCCCCGAGCCTCTTAAAGCGCGGGCGGCGCCTCCTGCTGCGGGAGCCGCTGGTTCGGTTTGGAGCCCGGAGGCTGGCTCTGCGGCCAGGCTGACTGCTGATCGCCTGCTTGTCTTTCGGAGAATTTCTTCCAACCGCTGGTGCTCCCCCCCCTCTCTCCCGCGGCCGCCCGCCTCTGCAGGGACACCTCTACACCGTCCCCTCCCGGGAGCAAGGCAACATCTACAAGCCCAACAACAAGGCCATGGCCGACGACGGGAGCGAGCGGCAGGTGTACGACGTGCACACCAAGGAGATCGACCTGGTGAACCGCGACCCCAAGCACCTCAACGACCACGTGGTCAAGGTAAGGGGGGGTCTGGCCCCGAAGGGGATGATGCCGGGCCGACAGCTCTCTCTGGCAGCAGCCTGTGCATTCTCTTCTAAAGTTACGGGGAGCGCGCGCACCCCGTGTTCTGGGTTTGGTGTCCCCTCTCCCATGCTGCTGTGCAGTGCAGGTGGGATTTAGCTAACTGGAGTTTTGTAGGCGTTCACATAACGGCACTCTTCCGGCAAATGAAGTTCCTGGTCACAGCCAGACCCCACTCCCGGAAAGGGTGAGATGGTGACGCTACAGGTCACCCTGTCCATTCCCAGGCTGGAAGTCTGGTGAAGGGTGGTGCCCACTGCACGAATGATTGACGCAGGAAGGTCATTTCTAAGGTCTTGTGCCAAAGGCGAACGCTGGGCTGCGGAGTGGGCATGCTCCTCTCAGCTGAAATCAAATTGAACTGATTTCTTCAACACAAGAAAGTGGGTAGAAGTGCTTGCATCTAAAGACACATGGTGCAAATATATATGCATACATACTTATATGGATCCATATATGAAGGGAATTTTAACTGGAAAAAAAACCTTGTGCACAGCTGAACAAAACTACCAAGTCAAAAATATGCACAGCTCTGGGTTTCTCCCAGAGAAACGTCCAGTTGGATGTGGAAAGTTGCTTCTTGAGTGATCACCTGCGTCAGCTTTCGCTGAGCTGAAGGGCCATTCCCTTTTATACTTTCAGGATGTACTTGGTGAGATTAAAATAGGTTAATGGAACAGGTTATTGGCCGAACTTAGATCTGACTTGGGGGTCAGTTTTTTTATTGCCTGATGTTATTTAACTCTGACCCTTTTAGCAAATCAAGTCAGAGGAATTTACTGTCTGAACCCATCTGGGTTGTGAAATCATGGGCGTGAGCCGTCCTTGGCGGAGGGCTTTCTTGGAGGTACCAGAAGGGCCACGGAAAGCCCTGGCCCGGAGGCAGGGTGCGGAGACCCGGGTCTGTACTCTCCTGGAGCAGTCCACCGCCTCCCCCACTGGGCCTCCCGTCCACCCATGGGAGAAGCTAGAGCTGAGACTGCTCACACTCACGAATAATAGAGTTCAAAAAGGGGAACAGCTTCACCTGTAACCAGAAGGAAAGCGTGGCTGTCAGAGTGGACTCTCGACTTGCTGGTGGAGGGGAAAAGGAAATTGGGAGCGTTGGCAGGCTTTTCTGCTATCCAGATCCTGGCATAGTTAAAGGTAGCAGCAATCACCAAAGCAGCTTATAAACTGAAAATGGCAATTGCTATAAACTATTTACTAAAAGCAATACCTTAAAAGGGGTAAGGGCATTTTTTTGTTTTTTTGCCCCCCCCTCCTTACCCCCTTCTATAGCTTTGGGCATGAAGGAGAGACGCCAGGAAAAGAGGCAGAAGCCAGGAAGGGCTGGCTCCCCGGAGCCTCCGTGTTGTTCCACCACAGTGCTAGCGGGGCAGACCTCCCGGATGAGTCAGAGAGGCCAGGAGTGTGGATGTGGCTCTCCGCACTTAGCATGACTAAGTTGGGAAAGAAAAGCCCTCTGGGAAAAGAGGCTTCAATGCAGATGGAAAAAGGGCATAACGGGCTTAGAGGAAATAGCTGTTTACAAAATAGCGTTTTAGAGAGCAAGTGCGGGGATCCTCGTATTAGAGAAATTAAAAGGGAGAGTTAGAGCAAGCGCCTGCTGGCTTGGAGAAAGCAAACCCCACCCACTTGCTCATAGAACTGGGAGCAAAGCAAGACAGGCAGGAAAAAATCTGCCTGGAGAAGAATTCGGGAGGCCCGCTTACTCAGATGCCCCCCTTAGGACTTCAGAATGCCCTGCAGAGAGAGGGAGAAGGCCCTGAGTGCCATGTGCCCGAAGGCGGAGGAGGGGGCTTACATCTTATACAGACTCCTAGTCCTTTTCTTAAGTCCAAGCATCAACCTAATGACAGAACAGAGGTGGTCCTCCTCCTGTTACCATGACAATAAACAATGAATTTCCCTAAATTTTATTTTGGTGGCATAGGTTTCTTAAAATAATAGAGCCATCCAAAGCCTCACTGTTAAAACTTCACATGATAATGAACAGCGATCAATTGAATCTGTTATTAAAGGTACTAAATCAGGTAAGGAAAGTTCTGTTCTAGAGGCAAGCAGCTCGGTAAAACAGCCCTGTCCAATTCTGTAGCCACTTAGCCACTTGAAATTTAAGTTTAAGTCCTTTACATAAAATAAAACTTAAAATTCAGTCCCTCAGTCACTCCAGCTACAAAGAGTTCCCAGCACATGAGACTAGGGGCTACCATATGGGACAGCAAAGATGTAAAGCATTTGGACAGCACCAGCCTAGAGTGTTCCCTGCATTTTACAAAAGGTTCCTATCCCAAGGTTAGAATAATAACTCTGGATGTAGAAGACATTCAACCCTGATGTACAGTGAGAGGAATAGCATAGTGTTATCTACAGCAAGCATGTCAAACTCACGGCCCGAGGGCCATGTGCGGCCCACAGGAATATTTTGGTGGCCCAACCAATGTAATTGTATGTAAGAAACGTTTTAATAAAAATTTTGTAACTTAATTTTTACAATAGCTTGTGATAGAATATTGTACCACATTCGCTAATGACTGATTACTATAATTGTGTTGCATTCATTTCCCCTTACGCACCTTACGCACGGGCGCGCCATTTTAGCAGCTGATTGCCATGTCATTAGTCTTAGACTGACTTGTTTGGTGTGCATAACAGGAAATATTTCACTTTTGGGGAACAAGAAAAAATAGGTTTATTTGTGTCACACTTATTAATTTGTGCAGTTATTTAGTGTCTGGTAAGTTAATGTTCAAGAAAAAATATTAATTTTTATTAAAATGTTCTATTATTTTATGTTAATGACCAGAGGCCCAGAGCATGAAATTCATGCATGGGAAGGGTGGTCCCCTCAGCCTAGACTGCACCCTCTACAATCCGGGACCCCTTGGGGGACGCCCGACTGCTGGTTTAGGCCTGGGATTGAGCCTAAACTGGCAGTCAGAGACATCCCTCTCACAATCTAGGATTGTGAGAGGGATGGCTCCTAACTGCTCACCTGCCTGCCTGCCTGCCTGCCTGATCACCCCTTATTGACCCCCTGCTTGCCTGATCCCCCCGCTAACTACCTCTGCCTGCCAGCCTGGTCACCCCTTATTGCCTCCCTGATGACCTGGTTGTCCCAACTGCCCCCCTGTGCCAGCCTGGTCTCCCCAACTACCCCCCACCAGTCTAGTCACCCCTTACTACTCCCTTCTCCCCCACAGGCCTGATCACCCCCAACTGCACCTCTGCTGGCCCTGTCGCCCCCAACTGCCCCCCACCAGCCTGGTCGCCTCCAACTGCCCCCCTTCCAGTCTGGTTGCCCACACAGCCTGCTGTTCAATCATTTGGTCATCCTTCACTAACCCCCTCCTGCCAGCTTTTCGCCTCATGCAGCCTGCTGTTAGATCATCCATCCCGTGGTTTCAGTCATGACAGCCCCTGGCCTTTTATATATTAGGATTACTCACTTATTTCAGCCCTTTGTATTCAGCATGTCTCTATCGAAATAAACCTGCGTTTCTATGAAAATTGAAGCTTTTGTTTTTTTGCTGGCCACATAAACTTAAACCTTGTTTATTTGGCCTGTATTGGCCTTTGAGTTTGACATGCTTGTTCTACAGTATCCTCTACATTCTATAAAACAGCCATGTAGGGAGGGGAAGAAAACTCAGAACTGGCTGTGTCATGATTTGTTATTTCAAGGTGTTTTACCACCTATTCCACTGGTTTTAATGGCATAAATTAGTCTATACCATTTAGTTCCACTGAATTTGTTTCTTATATTACTAAAGGTTTGCTGCTCTATATATGAGATATCTGTATTATATTTATCTAAAAAGAGTGGGCTATGAATGGTACTTAAAATTTCCTCTAATTAAAGTGATCACAACTTCAGACCCTTCTCCTTCCAAGATTTTTATGTCTTCTTTTTATGTTCCAATTTCTATCCAGGTATTTATTATGTACATATTTGGAATTTCTAGATAAATAAAATGGCTTCAATGTTATAATTCTGATATCACAATAGCCATCAATTCATTCACTTATTTGAGTCTTATATGCTGAACTAAACACATACTACAAAGGGTAATTCCTAAAATAATTTCTAGAAATCACAAAGATTAGAATTATGAGACAAGATATATACAGATGAAAAGCTTTAAAAAATACACACATACAATATCACAACAGTAAGTCACTGCCACAAGGTAACTAATGGGTTCTTTTTGGTTTGACTGCCAGGAAACATATAACTACATTTTAAGGTTTTTATTTTTTATTTTTTTTAAATATATTTTATTGATTTTGTACAGAGAGGAAGGGAGAGAGATAGAGAATTAGAAACATCGATGAGAGAGAGTCATCGATCAGCTGCCTCTTGCACACCCCCTACTGGGGATATGCCCACAACCAAGGTACATGCCCTTGACCGGAATCGAACTCGGGTCCCTACAGTCCCCAAGCCGACGCTTTATCCATTGAGCCAAACCAGTCTCGGCTACATTTTAAGTTTTTAATGACATGTTATTTATTCTCTTTTGTATATGGGTTTTAATTTTCACTTTCATTTCCAGCTGGCATGCTGTTTTATGCAGTTACTATAGTAAGCTCTCTCATCATCATTTTGGAAATAGACCAAATATCTACACTAATAAAAGAATAAGATGTAAATTGACTATACATTTGCCCATCAATCAATCAGGAGTGAGCATGCAAATTAGCCCAACAAAAAATGGCAGGTTAATTTGCATACACAGGTGCTAAGCGGCTGGGGGCAGGGCAGGATGCTTGCATTGCTGCCATGGTAACATAGGCATTCTTCACTGCCCCAGCTGTTCTGGCCTCTGGGCAGCATGGGAAGGCAGAAAGGCGGCTCCAGGCCAGAGCAAAAGGGTGGTTCCAACTGGAGCAAAGGCAGTGCCAGCAGCCAGGGGAAGGAAGGCCCATTTTTT